TGTGAAATTCCTCAATTACTCAAAGATATAATGGAAAAATGTTTGGATACGAATCCTCTCAATCGTCCAACTGCTAAAGAATTGGAAATTCAGCTTAGAAAATATTTAGAAGAGGATGATTCTCGTTATAGACTAAAAGAACAAATTGAAGCAATTAATGAAGCAAATATTAATTTTATTCAATATGATCACATCCTCGAGCAATATATTCAAGTAGGCGGTTACTTTTTCGAGACTAATCATGAATAAATCATCAGTCTGATATGAGTTTCAAGTTTATACATACATAAACTGTGTAGTGAAAATTATTAAAAAACAAAGTAAATTTTTGAGAAAGATCAAAGTGAAGCAACAGAATAGAATAATATATAACAAAATACATAAAAAAATTCCTAAATAATGTTTTATTTTAATATGAGAAAAGAATAACTATTTATCTTTAGGTTACTTTCGATGATTTTCAATGTGCAATAAAGTATATCAAGTTTGTAATTGTCTCTACAATTCTATATTTCAAAAAAATATTCAAAATTTTCTTGAATAAATATTCAATGGATAATATTTCACTATCTAATATTCTAGTATTACGGATATTCCGAAATAATTAAAATTATTAATACTTAATTTAAATTGTATTTGTAAAATTGGATAACAGTTAACGTAAATAGATAATTTGTCTATACGATATTTAAGTATAGATTAATTATATAATTTATTTGACATGATTTGTATATTTTATAGAAATACAACTTCACTATGACTCTTTTTTTATGAAAATTAGAGATTTATTTTTTTGTTAAATACGAAAATAGATAAAATTTTAAAAATTCATGCAAAAAAGAAAGACCAATCACGCCATGTTTAAACTTAAATATATCAAATGAACAGAATATAAAGATAAACATCATAAATAATAAAGATTTGAGAAAAAAAAATAAAATGGAAATAAACAATCTATAAAATTTTTGATAAATAATTTGTATACGTTTCTATTTCTTCGAATAATTCTGTGTTCCTAATTCTTCCAATTTACAGTACGTTTAAAACAAATATAATTTTCTTCTTTACTTTCAACGATATCGAAATATTTTTCGATTCTTTTTTAATCTTAATTTCAGGATTTAAAGATTCACAATGTAATTTTTTTCTTAATTCTGCAAAGCCTTTGTTGAATTTTTCAAGTTTTTAAAAGTGATTTTAAGTGTATGAGCTATCTTAGGGACACTTTATCATAAAATTCCCAAAACTAATTATCTTTTTTATACCAGTGACTAAAATAGAGTTCTGTTGAAGGTAAGTTGCATTGTTTTCACTATCTTTATAGAGTTCTTGTGAAGTAAAACAATATACACCAGCTAGCACCCCGAGGGATCCGTATGCAAGGAATATAGAGACCCCAATTTTAACAGAACCAAGATAGGCAAGATAGGTAAACAATAAGTCTTTGACATTTTCTACAGGTGGTAAAAATTTATAATTAATACTAACATTTGCCAGAGTTTAGCATTGATATTAAAACTTGGAATTCATTTGTATAATTTTTATAAATAACTCTTGCTTCAGATGAAGCCTTTGTAGGTTGACCCACATTTTCTTGTTCATTTTCACTCCACCTCAACCTGCACCTCCATATCCATTGCTATTTCCATCACTTCCATCACGATTTCCAATTCAATCATCTGACAAATCATTAGTAATTCTATTAGATATGTTCTATTCGAAGAATTACAATAATTATCATTACTGCCAGCCACTTGTATCATTTTCCGCTTGTTCTTCAATTTTTCACTCGCGATTAAACAACACTTAAAGGGTTTCTAAAACTTGTGTTTCAAGTGGTTTAGAAACATAACAGGTAATACATAGTAGCCTAGTTGAATGTTAGGCCCACAGCATACACGGGTTGTGACTTTAGAATATTATCAATCGTATCTTGTTTTGTCAAGTAACAATTTTGCAAGATTTATAGTAAATTCTGTGATTAATTTTAGTGAGAAGTCTGTTTAGTATATTTTTCAGAATATAGTTTATTAATATTATCAATAGATTTTGAAAATTGAAAATATTACCAAAAATTGCACTATTTATGACAAATTTTTCTTCCAACTTGAATTCTTAATGGTTATCATCTTCCACTATGCAAATGCCAAGATTGTTAATTATCTTTCAATAAAATTCAGAGGTTTGAAGAAATCTGGGCTATACCTAGGCGTGGGATCAATTTATATCATAGTCTCTCATAATTTAACTATAATAAAATAATAAAAATACTAATTAATATTTATAAAAATAAAATTATAATAAATATTTATAAAAATAAAAAAAAATAAAATAAAACATAAATATCTAACAATGCATGTACAGATAAGTGTTGGATTTGATTTTGTTAAGTATGACGTAGAAAAGAATTAATAATATAATAAATAATAAATATAATCTATTCCAGCTAATCAAATAACAAGTGAGAATATAAAAACAATGAGAGAGAACGAGTAAATGAAGCTTTTTAGCTCATCGCCATTAACAGTTATAATAATAATTTAATTGAATTGGATTATTTATTTTGATAAAATTTTATATTTTTTTCAACATATTGCACAATAGCGTACATAATTAAGATATTATAATTATATAATAGTAATTAGGATATAAAGCATAGATGTTATTTAGTGTACTATGTATTATTGAATAATCAATGTATGTATGCATAAATTAAGAGAACGTAATTATTAATAGAATCACCAAGTTCAAACAAACAATATAAAAAAAAACTAATCATACTGTCGAAATCACCTAAAAATATTTTCTAGTCTCTAAAAAAAGAATAAAAAGATATTTATGAAAAAAAAAGTATAAAAATATTAAAATTGCCTTATCTATTGCCAAAAAGCAGATGTAAATTTAAAAGCTTCGAAGGGTAAGAAATACCTTAGGAACAAAAAGAATAATAAAATTAAATAGAATTACAAAGAAAATAATATAATAAAAAATAATAATAAATATTTAAAAAAATATAAAAACATTAAAACGCTCCACTCTAAGAATAAAAAAAAAAGGTAAAAAATAAAATAAAAAATAAAAAAAATAATGAAAATTGATCTAAACTATCTGAACCATCGAATAAACCTATTTTAATTCAAGTTTATGTGTGTACAGAAACATTAAAAAAAAAGAAAGTAAAGTAATAGAGAAGAAATTTAATAAAAATATTCGGACATCAAACTTCACGTTTTGTTTTAAAATCTATCTAATATAAAGCTTTGCATTAATGAAAAATAATAATAATTAGATTTTAAGTTACTTTCAATAAGTGTCAATATGCAATAAAGTATTTCAAAGTTTGCTATATTTAAAATCTTTGGTTAGAATATTCTTGAATAAATATTTCAATATATCCCTGGATTTTTTTTTGTACAACGAGCCTCGTTCATAAAAATTATATTCTTGATTTTTCATTATATTAAGTCAGAGATTTTTTTCTTATTGTATCAGATAACAACATTTTTTGAATTATTTTCTATAAAATAAAAAATAAAAATACCGAATGTTTTAGTAATAATATTCAGACATTATTTTTTGTTCATTTTGAATTTTATAAAAATAAAATGTAAATTCGTAAAATAACTCTAAAAAGTAATTTTAAATTTAATAATAAAGAAAGAAATAAATAAAAAATACATAAAAATACATATTTATAAATATCTGAAAAAAATATATTTCTATTAAATATTAATGATGATATTATCACAATCATTTCTGAGTTTCTAATTTCAATTCACGCTTGAAACATTTATTTCCCAAGAAATCTGGATCTAAGTTTTCAATACCGAGTTTAAGTTCAAGCGCTCTCTCTCCACGGTGAATGTTTTCTCTTAAATCAGCAAAGTCCTTGTTAAATTTCTTAAGGTCATTGAAAGCGATTTCAAGTGTATGAACCATCTTGGGGAATTTCATCACTGGTGGTTTATTATTACGAAAATTGATGATGTGTTTTTTAGGTTTATTGATAAAGTTTAATACTTGCTTAATTGTAACAGAAAATCCTTCTACAATATTTTCAAAATATCAGTCACCAAAAATATTTCTTAATGGTGGTAAGGTTCGTTGATTTTTAAAAGTTTTATCATCATATTGCGCAGCGAAACAGTAGGACCACTTTACACCTTTTATGGGACAAGGTATATAGTAAATATTTCAATAATCAATTTTTAATGTGATACTTTTACTATTTTTAGCATTGCAACTAGCGGTTGCCCCAGGATTTTGTCTGATATTTACATTAAAATCAAATGTTTTCTCACTACCAACTGAATAATCAAAAGAGGTATGTTTCTGCGGCATATATACATTTTTAAATACTATCATTTCAGATTTACTATGTGGTCTTGGAGAAACTACAATTTCAACAGAATCAAGATAGTATCCAACAAAGTTTTGAAGTTTTCGACATGTTTCATTTAACATTGGTCCTACTCCACATGAAGGTAAATTTACTATAAATTCCAAAGTATTTTCGGGTGATGATGAAAATTTTTTATCCCGACCAACATTTGACCAGGGATCAACATTCATATGAAATCATCCTCATGCACAACGTTTGCTAAAGATGCAACCTTCAGAAATCAATCCCATTTAGTTTCCTTTTTCCACTTCCACTTCCACCACCCCCACCTCAACCACCTCACCTCCATCTGCACCTCTACCTTCCACTCCATCTGCATCTTCACCCGCACCTCCATCCGATAAGTCATTTGGAATTCCGTCAGATATATTTACATTTCCATTTGATGGATCACTATGATTATTATTACTGCCACTTGTTTCTTCTTCCACAGGCTCCACCATCTGTTCTACAATTTCATAATTATGACCAAACAATGCTGAAAGTTTTAATAAAACTTGTGCTTCAAGTGGTTTAGAAACATAACAGGCAATACACGGTATGGAGTAACCTTGTTGAAAGTTAGGTCCCACAGCATACACAGATTGTGACTTTAGAATATTATCAATAGTATCTTTTTGCTCAAGTAATAATTTTTCAAGATTTGAATTAGCTGTTGTACCAAACCTGATAGTTGCTTTTACTGAGAAGAAGTCTGTTTGGTATATGTCTTCCGAAGAAAACTTGTTAATATTATCAACAAATTTTTTCCCAGCTTTTGGTTCTTCCAATTCATGGCTAAAACCAGTTACCGATAAATTATTTTCTTCTTTACTTCCAACAATATTTGTTTTCTTTCTTAATTCTTCCTTTTCACATCTAAAATCAGTAACCAATAAATTATTTTCGTTTTTGCTTTTATTGATATCTGATTTCTTTCCTAATTCTTCCAATTTACGTTTAAAACTAATAACCAAGAAATCATTTTTTGCTTCACTTTATTCAAGATTTTTCCTTTTATTTCTTCATTACTTTGGACAATAGAATATTTAACATTCTTTTTCTTTTCTAATTCAATTTGAGGAATTAAGGATTCGCGATGGAATTTTTTTCTAAATTAATAAAAGCCCTTGTTAAATTTCTCAAGGCTGTTGAAAGTGATTTCAAGCGTATGAACTACCTTAGGGTACTTTATTATACCAAAACTTAATTTTAAATCTATTTGATTTAATTTTGCGGTTTAACACTTGCTTATTTGTGATAGAAAATCCTTTCATATTATCTTTATTAATATACCAGTGACCAGAATGGATATCTGTTGATGGTAAGTTGCGTTGATTTTTACCATCTTTATAGAGATCTTGTGCAGTAAAGCGATATAACCACTGCACACCAGTTGTAGAGGATTCCGAGCGTTCCATATACCAATCATCAGTTGTTGACTTGATACTTTTATTATTTCTAAAATCGTAAATAGTAGTTGCCCCAGGATTTTGTCCAATATTTAAATTGAAACCCAAGTTTCGCTCACGATTTACTGAATGATCAATAGAAGTAAAATATTTCTGTGGCATATATATTTTTTTTTAATGAAATCATATTAGATCTGTCACTAGGATTATGAGAAAGTGGAGAAACTCCAATTTCAACAGAATCAAGATAGTAACCAATAAAGTTTTGAGGTTCCCGACAATTTTCATTTAACATTCTACCAACTCCGCATGAAACTAAATATACTTTGAAATTCAAAGTATTGTTATGCGGTGAAAATTTATGATCAAGACTAACATTCGTTATGTATATTACTATTTTAATAGTACAAATTTTGCCCAAAGTTTAACATTGATATTAAAAGCTTGGGATTCATTCTTATAAATAACTCTTGCAAGAGATGAAACCATTATCCCTTAATCTGTAGAGCAGGCAAATTTGCCTGCTAATATAATTATATTTATAAATTTTTTTAATAAAATTTTAAATTTTGATTTTAAAAATATAGTTT